AACCCTGAGCCGCTGCAGCAAGGATTCAGCCTTGGTCACCCCACCATAGCCTGTTTTATAAATTAAGATGATTAATTATGACTGGCCTGTGTCTACGCCATCTTCTTCCGGAGAGGAAGTGTCTCTAAAGGCCCAGATCACAGTGTATTGAATAAAAATTGTATAGACAGTATCCTTAACTAAAAAAACGTTTTTGAACCTTAGTAAAAGCAACAGCAACTGTAATATTTGCTGGACATTCTGGCAATCCCCCCAATCCTTGACATATATTAAATTCACTACAAACTGAATTTAAAACCTGATGACTTACCTAACCTGACTTTGGTGACCCCAGCTGGCGGTGTTTTACATCACTGTCATAACTGTTAAACCACTCATTGTATTGGCATGGCTACTTGTGTAGAAGTGTGTCAGTGTGTAGATGTATGAGAGTCTTTAGCAGTAGAATTTGTTAAAAGTAAAGAAGTCTTCTTGCTGTCTTATGTAAGATTTCTTTTGTCTCAACTCAATACTGCACAACTTAAAGCAATATTACCATTATTCATTATCCATTGTATTAATTTGACAACCTTCCATTGCCTGCAGTTACTTAAAGTGTAAATTGATTCTGTAGGTAAATCGTGGTCCATACCACCGCCTCAAGCAAAATAAATGCTAGGCAGAAGAAAGTTCACATATCTAAAGGTGAATGCCAACATTTTATTCTATATATCATTCAATCCCATGCAGTTATCAGTCTGTTAAACCTTTTTCCTCCAACTCTTCATCTTTGTCAACAAAAACAGTCTCCAACCTTGTGCCATTATGTGTTTATGGTTACATAACTGATTAGCCCAGTTTCAACCAGAGAAGAGGAACAGAAAGCTGCTGATGTGATTTATATATTTGGAAAATGGATCATTTGGGATTGTAATATTGTAAAAGTATGGCACAGCCCTGGTATCAGCTCCATTGCCTCTCTCCTCAGCTGTGCCGTAAAAAATAATTAGATACTTGGAAACTACCCAAGCATCAGAAGAGAGTGGTAAGCAGCGCTGCAAAAAAGAAATAAATATCACCAGTGCCTTTAGTCAGCGGGAAGACCATTAATATCAAGACATGAAGACTGATGCAGAGTTGGTTTTTTGATTAAAGGTTAAATAATCTCTAGTATCAGTCAGATTTTCAGTGGCAGTTGTAGGAATTAGCATGACAATACAGACTTTTTATTTCATCTCATCATCACAGTTATTTTCAAGCAAACTGGGGGTCATAAAGTGCAAAAAAGTGATCAAAGAAATCCTGTTATTCAAAATAGTAGCTTGCCAACAAGTCACACCAGCTACTTGAAAAAATCAGCACATTACCTTGGAGACTGAATTTGCACCTATTAAATGCTCTGGCAACGAACTGCAATGCTGAATCACATGTGACTGTATTTCTATGTGTAATTAGGTGCACTAAATGAGTTTTAATCAATTATTTATTTTCACTATTGCTATTCTATTTATTCACCTTGTATGTAAACAAATGTGTGGTCTGAAAATGTACCAGGCCTTTAGATTTAAGAAATATATTTTTTAATCTGTTAATTTCGGTGGGTGCCAATAGCTCTGAGATTATTTCTGGCAGCATTAACATTAATCATTAAGATTGCTACAACATAACTTAAGCCTGCATGGTTATCATACTGTCACACATGTGGCATACACACACAACACAGACAAGAGACAGACAAAGTCCTTTTTAGTTCCATTATGACTTCCAAGCTTGAATCTAAAGTCTTCACTGCGTATTTGTGCTTGTGTGTAAAGCAGTTCTTTGATCTCTAACAGTTTAAGCAACACAGACTACCTAACCTGCTCCAGAGTTAACAGTTGTCTCCTGAGGGAAGCTTTCTTTTTCCACCTACACACAAATATAGCATTTGTCAGTGCCTTCCAAAATGAACATTTTGAGCATTTCAAAACTACACTACATTTTGTAATCAGCCACCTCTTTGGTAAAGCCAGTGGTTTTCTGTTCACGGTGGGGCATAGAGCCACTGCAGGTGGGGCGTGGATGACCAGGGGAAAAATATAGGGAATGAAGTTGAATAAATATGATTTATGTAGGGAAAGTAAACAAAGAGTTTGCAGATGCTCTTGTGCTGACCTTTATTTCACTAACATTCAACTTTGATCCCTTTTTATTAGTTTTAGCTTCTGAAAACGCTTGAGAAGCACTGGGTTAAGCTATGGTTAAGGTTAAGCAACTAAAACTACTTAGTTAAAAAAACTACTTGTCATTGTTAAAGGAAACCAATGTTGGCTGTACTTTTGTAACATTCATCTACCCCTCTTCACCCAAACTTTTTGCTGCACTATGAAAACGTCACACTTCCTCCTGCTTTGCAATTTATTTTTAAAATGAACAATGCTGTCCACAGAAAAACAGCTGCATTTGTTTTTTCTGTAGAAGATTTTTTTTCCAAACCACTGAGGCGCTGAAACCTAGGAAAGTTAAATGTGCTTTTGCTACAGTTTCAGTGTGACACAAAGGCCACAGGCAGATGGATAAACAGAAAAAGTGAGTCAAAGGAACTGTAGCATGCACTTAGATGATGACCCAGACAGACTGCCATATTTGTGTATGCAGTCTTTTGTCACTGTGATGCTTGAGTTTGAGTTTAATGTAACAAGTCAAGTATTTATATAGTATACAGTAAGACAAGCACTTTACACATCCCGCATATGTGCAAGCTCTAGCCCTTTGACATCAAAAGTTTAGAAGGACCTTCACAGACATATGTTATGCTTTAGCCAGACCACAGTGGCGTTGCAGCCTAGGAGAGTGTATGCCCTTTAGTGAGTGACACACAATGTTTAAATGTGCGTTTGAAATAGTTTTCAAGGTGACCCAACAGAGTCCAATGTTGTCAAGTTTGTGTTGCATAATTTAGTGACTGTGGTAGCCTTCAGTGATAGTAGAGGGGACAGGAAACATGACTTTTGAGACTGCTTTAGCAACTTTATTTTAAAAATAGGCGAGGGACGAATCTAGCAACTTTTTGGGAAGGAGATTAGCTACTTTTCCTTGAAGAATGTCTTCAACACAGCTCAGTGAATCTGCAGTCCTCTTGCATGCTGTGGCTCTCTGGGTTGACAGCTGCGTGCAGTCGACCGCACAGCCGCCTGGCTGAAGCACGTAGCTTACTGATTGCAGAATGTCCACAGCGAAAATAACATGGTATACTTTACCTTCTTGCTGACACTTGTTTTTTATGTTTTTTTTTCATTAGGACTCTAAATAACTTTTCTTCCTCTCTGTGCCTGTTTCCCTCTGTTTCAGTGCCCTTTAACATGGCAGAACAAATGGGAGGGACCAGAAGAGCCAATGCAGTACCTCAGAGCTGTAGTAACACGGGCTCTCGCTATACAGGTAACATACATAATGTATACATATAGAGACCTCTGCTATTCTCTTTCTCTGTCAGTCTAGTATCTGTCTTTCCAGTATCTGTCTCTCCTCCTTTTTCCCACCGGCACACAAATAATATTTACTACAAATAGACACATACATATATGCACATGGAATAAGAAAAAAAACACACATACAAACCATCTTTCGCGGTGACAGAACACTTTAATCCTTCAGGGACCGAAATTCACGAAGGTCTGCTCCTACCCTACTTACCTTTTGTCTTAAACCAAAAAAATAGTGGTAAAGTTTCTGTGGGAGAATTGGCAGTAAAGACAACCTCGCTGGTTATTAAAAAAAAACCAGACGCCCCTGGGAATCCTCTGTGGTACTACTCTCACGAGAGTGAGACTTAAGGAGCCTAAGAGTTTTCTAATCAGCATTAGCATAATGATTGAGGGATCCATTTAAATCCATGGTGCATTTATATCCCACAGGGAGCCTCGTCCTCCAGTTGTGATGAATATTAAGGGAGAACACTTTTGGATTTAAAAAGGACCTTGCACCTCAGATATCCAACAACGACCCTAGACCTTTTTATGGTGTTTCCCCACAAGACAAAAATCCTTTGGCTGAGCCGGGGTCCAAGGACCAGACTTTAGGTTACGGCTCAGGCAAAAATTATTCATGACTGATCAAGGCAACGTTTTGACTAAGACCGCGCCAGAAAAATTCTAATGTTGTTTTCAAAAGCACTTCATAAATAAAAGCGGATTATTATATAAAAGCATGAGGTTCTGGGAAGTGTTTGCCCTAGGTTGGTGCCAAAAAATAAAGGTTCTGGCTGAAACTCCTCTCGACTGTGTCTGACTGTACGCCTACCTCAATATGCTCTGACAGACTAGAAAACACACACACACACACACACTCAGAAATTATTTATTTCTATGTGAATTTGATGCATTTGATTATTCGTGTGGGCGAGCCTCACTGCCTATGTCTGTCTGTCTTCTGGTCGGCCTGCCTGCCTGCCTACCCATCTGTTTGTGTGTATGTCTCCCTGTCTGCCTGCCTCTTTCTGCACTCCATCTGTCTTCATGTGTGTCTATCTGGAGGCTGCGCTGTCCTTAACTGTCTATTCCTGCCCATCAGTACTGAGTGATATCTCTGTTAGCAGCGTGTCTGTGTCCTGTTAGCTAATCAGTCTAATAAAGGCGGAGACAGACAAAGCTGCTGCTGTGTGGAGCTGCAGAAGAATAAAGAGCTAACAGCACAGCAGTACACCCCAGACGTGCCGGACGACCTTGGAAACACCCAAATGCTCACACACACACATATATGCACACAAATACTATGCATACCAGTGCACACTGGCTCGTTGTATTATTAATATCCAAAATTCTTGGTGCACGTCCTCCTGAGAGAGAGAGTCTGCGTGTGTGTGTGTGTGTGTGTGTGTGTGCATTTGCCTGCAAGTATGTGCCTGTGTGAATGTGGGTATGGGCTTGCATTGGTGCATATTTTTTCTTGGCATAATGCTCATCCCAATTTATCTCTAAAGCCAGTGCAGACTGATGCTGTGCTAAAAAGGAATCCATTTATAATAGAGATTGGATCAGATGTTTGTTCATTCTGCCTCTATTTGTCAGCAAATTTTCCCTAGCTGACCTCCAAATCCACTAGTTTCTATGGTGATTTAGAGAAAACTGCCTACCTAAAACAGAAATGCAAAACAGGGCCCAGAATAGATCCAAGACTTCAATCTTAGGTCAACTCTCAAGGCTTACAACAGGCCACTGCAGTCATATATCACAATAATCTTGGCTACAGAGCAGTGGAATCAGTTGTTGTGCCACTCTGCAACATCCCCTCCGAAAAGAAAAGACAACATACAGACTGAGAAATAAGATTGTATTGTGAGATATCATATCAGATTAAGTTACTGATTAAGTGTGTCCTTTTGACAAAAATAAGTAGTTTTCGCAGACACAGAAGGAGACGGCTTACAAAGCAGATGTTGCTGAATAAGGCAGACTGGATAAACACATTGGATAAGGCTTAGAGAGGTCTATCTCCAGTCATACAGCTCCACACTGTGTACTTGTATCTGGATACAGTGTATGCTGTCTTTTAGTATCTAAATACGCATACACATTGCTGTCTCTGCATGCATGTGCCTGCGTATGTCTAAGTATAGTATAGACATATGCTTAAATGGTAATCTGTATGTTTATGCCTCTGTGTGTGCACACACTGTATTCCCATTAGTAGGTAATTGGGATCCCAGTGTTATCAGCTTGTTGACGTGGTGATAAAAGGACCAGGGGACATTAAATACTCTTTTGGCCACACATTTGTATTGACTTTATGTTTTGCCCTCTCCCTTTGTAACTCATTTTATCTCTGATTAATAAATACACACTGATTCGGATAGAAATTATGATCATTCCACTCACAGATCGATGTTCTCTATGAAAATTTAAAGAGCCAAATACAATACAAACAATCACTATTTGTATTCTTTGTAATCAAACTATTTGTGGTCAGAGGGTGAATATTTAGAGCAAATATATTTCTTATAGTATTCGGAGCCAGCTCTATTTGTGTCAAATTTTACCACTTGAACTGAAGAAAATTGTATTCTCATTATCTTTCATTGATCCACAAAATGTTTTGTCTGACTGCTGTGTGAAACTGATTTTATGCCTGAATTATGTGTTATCTCTGAGTGTTTATTTGTTGTTTGCTAGGTTCTTGGTTCATTAATCTGTGTTTGTGTGTGTGTGTCTCTGTGTATGTTTGTCTGTATGTGTGTGTGTCCAGAGTTGGGTGGAGCGTTCAAGCAGACAAGCTCTTCTATCGGACACCCTAGATCTAGCTGAGCTCTTCCACCCTGACACCTTCCTCAACGCTTTGAGACAGGAAACTGCCAGGTAACACTGAATGCTTGTGGGTTCGCGTGAGACAGAACGAGTATGTGTGCTAAGGTTAATGACGTATTTCTGGTGATTTTAGGTCCATGGGTTGTTCTATGGATAGTTTGGTGTTTGTCTCGTCGTGGAGGAGCTCCATTGCACAGGCCAAGCTGCAAGTCAAGGTAGCATTACAACAAGCACACATTAACTTACAGATCATGCATACAGAAACACACTGCTCCCATCCAGCTGCAGAATCCTGGCGCTATAAATGAGGCAGACTCTGGCTGAGTGATAATTGGAAAATAATGGAGTAAAAGACTGCAAGAATAGAAAACAGATGCAGATAAGAAGGCAGGACCTGAAAAAGAGAAGAACGTAAGAAAGAAAGCAAAGAGTTATATCCATTAGAGACAAGTGTGTTGTCTTTGAGTTACCTTGTTTCCTGTGTTTCTGTGATGCATTTGATGAGTACAAATTCATACAGTTAAAGAACTGGCAGCACACACATACAATACCACTTTTAGTCAGTTTGTATTGTCTACAATTACTAAATACTAAAATACTTTTAGGCATTTGTTTCTTTTCAATCATGCCAATAAAAACTGGCCGGACTTGCACTTACTTAAAATATACAAAGGGAGAAGGGAAGGGTGTGGGTGCTTAAAGAGAGGTTGCAGCTGCAGGGAGGGAAAGGAAATATTCAGACATCTGACAGAGAAAGAGAAAAGGGATAATTGTTGTAAAGCAATGAGCTCTCTTACACACACACACACACACACATGCATATACACATTGAAGCTTTTTCTTGCCCAGATTATGGTGATTTAGTAGTTGTCTGTGTATGTTTGACTTGACGCCAGAGTTCCCCTTATTGTCTGGCCTACTGTGGAAAATCCCTGAGTCACAGGACTGAATTCACTCATATAAACACACTCTCTCATGTACAATGTGCATAACATGCTAGTCAGTCAGGTGACAGCAATGTCATTCCTCTTTGTTTACATAGACCCTGCCTCTCTCCTTTCCCTTTCAGTTCAGTCAAAACGTTTTGGCTTCATTATCCCGGCCTTCTGTTAAATCCACTGCTCTTCTCTCTTTCTCCTCAGTTTACAATCACTTTATTTTATTTTTGTCTTTTTGACCCCTTTTCTCTTCTTTTGCTTCTCACTCCATCTGTTCCACTCTTTTTCCAGGTGGGAGGTCTCCAGCTGGAGGGTTGTAGTTTTGATGGTGTTCATCTTTGTGAGAATCAGCATGACTCTCCCAGTGTGTCAGCTGTCCCACCCTGCTACATGGCCTGGGTTCCACAGGTACATATTTGTGTTTAAAACAGGAACATATTGTTGCCCTCAGAGAAATTTGTGTGTGTGAAACATGGGCAGACAGGATTTGGCCTCATTAAATTGTTTTTTATTTCCTGATACAATCATGAAATTAGCAGCAATAGACTTTTTGTAAATCTTGAGGATTTGATCATTAATGAGTTTTTGTGGGGTAACTCAAAAACCGTTGAAATCGTTAGTTAAATTTTTGAAATACATGTAAACTACTTAAATATACAGTCAGTGTGCATACATTCATTAAAGTGTGTCTTTGTCTGTGTTTGATCCTAGAACTCTGCTGCTGACTCCACTGCATCAGAGGAGAGTATATGGCTGCCTCTGTACACAAGCTCAGAGAGGGTGAAGGTGGTCACGCACATCTGTCTGCCCTGCGGAGCGAACCCCAACCAGTGGATACAGACTGGAGCCGCTCTCTTCCTCAAACAGCAGTGAAAGGACCTCATCTTGGACACCAGTAACCAGCCAGTAACTACAGAGGCTTTTGTCAAGCATTGTAAGCCTCAGGTGGAGAAAATATTGTCCTAAAAGGCAGATTTGACTGGGGCAACAAATAACAGGACAGGCTCTGATACTGACACCATCATTTTCTAATTAAGCACCTTAGCTTAGAGACCAAAACCTTAAATTTGCATAATATGGTACAAGGGAAGGCACCAGAGGAGAAGAGAACAGTTTTTACTTTCTTTATTTGTTTTTTGGTTTAACAACAACACTAGTTCTTGAATGAAAAGTCATTTCTTTTAATTTCATGGGCCAGACATCAAAATGGAGCAGCCATAACATCTTTAATGAGATATAAACATGGATCTCAGGCTGTAACAAGCTTTGATAACTCTGAATTCTTCTACTCTTAGTCTAATAAAACACTACTTCACTCATCTTCTACATTTCATAAAATAGTGTAAAATTGTCTTTTGTGTTCAAAGAACTCATGAAGAAAGCAGCGTTATTGAGTTAAATAAGTTTTTGCCCTGAATGTTTGTTTCACAGTTATTCTGTTGCCTGAGTGTATTTTTGGACCTTATTTATTCAAAATAAAGATGAAATAAATGTCAATATTGCTAGATTTTATTGCAGTAATAGTCACTAACATGTTCCAATATTGTGATTGTAAAGAAAGTCAAACTCTGTCCCAATTTAATTTCAGTTCAGCACGTGCAATTAGATGAGTAGAAGTTGAGAATAATAAGACAAAGCACCAATACAGAGATGTGCATGTGTGTGTGTGTGTGTTTCAGAGCTAGGCTGACCCTCCACCACACACTATCAGTAGTCACAACTGTTCAACAGTAAACATTAGAGATCATTCTGCCTCTCAATTAAATCTGCTGAAACAGGCTTCACAGGCAGAAAATGCCCCAGTGTCTGTTCCCAAAGCAAATGGTGGTTGCCTCTACCTCTCTCTCTTACTCTCTTTCACACACGCACATTCACAAGCACTCAGTCCCTAACCTCTGTGTGATTGGTTGTGAGTCGAGGTTGAGCGGAGTCGGTAAAGCCGTGATGGATGGCCACAGAACTACAAAGCAGGGTGTGAGGTTTGTAAGGTGTGTATGTTTGTGTATGTTTGTGTATGAATCCGACCAAGAGCATCACATTTGATGGATGGCTTAATTAAGTCTCTTTTTTTTTTTCCTGTGTCCTTCTGTTTTTTGTTTGTGTTTATGCAGTTGTGCAAATGTCTGTGTGCGCACTCTTCTGTAAATGTGTGTGTGTGTGTGTTTGTGGAGACAGAGAAAAGGGCTGGAATGAGGGAGGAGCGGGTATTGTGTGTGCACTGCAGTGTGACAAAATGGGAGTGAAATGGAACAGCAGGTTTAAAAAAGAGAGAGGATTGGATTTCGGCAAAACACGGCCCTCTGGGTCAGAGAGACAGAGGAATGGAGGCAGAGAGAGAGATGGAGAGAGGGAGAGAGATGATGCAGGGAGCGAGGCAGAGCAAGAAAAAAGGCTATAAAACCTGTTTGAGAAAATTGTAGAGAAACAGGAAAATGAGGACAGCATGGGGGGTGGAGGTCGGGTGGGAGAGGAGGGGTCAAAGGGAAAGAGGATGGATGGAGAGGGTGTGGACAAGAAGGGAGTGGGCAGAGTGTGAGAGAGGGAGCAAATGGATAATATTCATTCAAGTGATACTACAATGTTTATAGCTACTTCAACACTGGGCAGACAGAGTTGTTCTTCACCTTTTCTGCAATTAAAAAAAGAAAAAGAAAAACCCTTTGACCTTCACCTTTAATCCATGTGAGTGTATACATGCACGCTTGAAGTCGAAGCCAACTGGAAAGCCTGATTTTACTTAGTTGTTTAGCAACCAAAAGGCCCCAAAAATCCACATTGTAAAAATTGAATTCAAAACACCAAGTGTTGTTGCACAACTCTTCCAGCGTTTTGATGACTACTAATCCTGCGGGCGAAGGTGGAAAATTAACATCAGCATCGCAGCAAACAGAAAATGCTTTGCAGAGGGCTTGTTTCCAAGGTAATGTGTTTACAGAGTTTGTCTTTATCATAAATTAGCATGCCAGGTTTTTAGAAACTATTGTGATAAAATTCAGACTCCGGTGGCGTTCAGTAGCTGCTTTAGTGAGATGTTTGTTTGGATTTTTGATCACAAAACCCACACAATGTGTCACTTCAGAGCAATGATTTAAATGCAGCACACGTCACATTCGTACAAAAAAACTCTTGAGTCGAGTTGGACTTAGAACAGCCATAGAACCCACATAGAAATGAAGCCACAAAAAGGGATATTATTTGAATGCCTGGTCTCCCTCCTGAAATTCAGCACACTTACAAAACTGTCTATATTCAAATATTCTGTTCTCTGCTACGATCTTCGCTTTTTCACTTTTGTGACCCTCCTTCAATTCTTTCACGACTTCCTCCATTCTTCTATGACGTTCACCATTTACAGTGTTTGGGGCTTTCCTGCGTTGTCTAGCAAACAATACAATACAATGCTTATGTAAAGCTTGCCTATGTGAGACATAAACATTTCACTTTCTATCTGATAACCTTTCTGACACACGTATTTGTAACATTTAGTCCAAATAAATACTTAAACATGAGGATATAAACAGAAAAGAACAAGACCTTTTCATTTGTTTTCCTGTCCATGCAGATATGTAATCACTCCATCTCAGGACGGAGTCAGATTTGTTCCTTTAACAACATTTAGTCTGTCCTTACTCAGCTTGTCTAATGCATCAGACCCTGTTTGTTTTTTTACTTTTACACCCAGCATGCTAACTAGGCCAACATCTGGTGGGTCCCCATAAAACAAGAGTGGTAAAATGTTTTGGGTTCCTGCACAAGGCTAGATTTCTCATTTGGGTTTCTGGATTTTAAAATGTTAATCACTGCCTCATCAGACTTGAGCCACATTTCAGTGAGAGGAAACCAGAGAAACCTCAGATGAGCCACAGCCAGCTGCAATATAACGTCAGACTGACTAAGTGCAGAGCCCACTTATAATGCAGCCGAACAGTAATATCATCACTGCCGGCATCATAACATTGTGCATACTAGTAATGGAACACGTTAGTCAGATATGAGCATAAAAATGCACTTTTATTTCACTGTACACGGCGTGTTGTGTCAGGATTTTGAGAAGGCTGATTTAAGACTGGAGCCTGTCTCTGGGGCACCGAGTGATGACACCTCTGGTCTCTCCCACTGCTCCCACCCACTGCTCCCATCAGCCTCACCGTGGACATGTGTCTGATTCCCAGTTTTCACTCTGCTGTTTCCCCAATAAACACTCTGGATTACAAAAATTGTCACAGTATGTCCCACCTCAGCAGAGGGTTTTCAGGGGTGGGAAGTGAGAGGAAAAAGCTAACACACATGGACAGGATGCTCAGAAGGAGGATGGAAAAGTGCCGAAAATACACTGCAGGGGAGCAGAGTGGAGGAAGTGTGGAGTGAGATGGGGAACATCGCTGGCAGGATGGCAAAATGTTAGAGGATGAATGGGATCAACTTGGTTTTATTGACACAGGGCTCAGTAACACAAACTCCCATTTTCTCAGTAAGTGTTGGGGTGTATAATTCTGTGATAGATGTTCAACATATATACAAATGTATCCATCTACTCACTACATATCTACAATAAAATATAAGTATGGTGATTTATTTTCTGTCAAATTGCATGAAAACCAAAACCAACAACAATGAATCCTACCAGGTATGCAAGTAATAACCTAAACAACATAAGTGTTTTACTTCACTACATTTTAAGCTTAGCAGTTGCACAACAATAAAATGAAGGATGATGTACTGTGGCATGAGCAAAAAAAAGGGTTGCTTACTTTTAGCTTAACTGATCAATGATTTATTGCACCACCCGGAGAGCATGTTGAGTAACACAAATCAAACACACCCAGGATGTGACCAACAAGTGCATGATGGGCCTCAGTGCTAAATGCTAAGAGGCTCATGGTGGGTCTTCCAATAGTGATTTCTACATTTGCTGAGGAGATTCTAGCATCAGTGAGGTGTGTGTTTTTGTTCTCGTCTGACTGCACAGACTCTTTCCGCTCAAAACATTTTGGAAACTTGGACTGCTTACAGACTGAATGAGCAGAGAAGTTGAACCTGGAGCAGACTGTGGGGGACTTTGTGGCTCACAGAATGATGTTCAGACTGGTGAGTACAACAAAAACCTCTCCAACTGTTGCAGCTCACTGTACAGAGTACAGACAGAGGACATCAACAACCACTGTGGCCTACAAACAAAGCAGCGGTGTGTGTACACCTTTTCTCTTTTTGCTTTAATATAAATGTGTACTTGTTCTGCTCTTTTGTGGTGATGCTTTATTTTAAGTTATTTAATTTATGTAGCTTCATAATGCTTGTTGCACCTGCCACAGTGTTTTATTTATTGTTAGTCATTTCTGTGTAACTGTCTGAGTTTCTGGGGCTCAGCTGCTAGGGTTGCCCGTGGAGGCTAGCAATAATGATGGTACATAGGAGAGACAGAGGATGAGTAACAGATTTGGGGAGGAACGGCCCATTCACTGGACCTTTTCAATGGCCGAAGCCATTTCTGTGGGCTGGCCTGTTTACTTGAGTTAAATATTGTTGTAGGCTACTCTTTCCATCCCTGGATCCTGCTAACATTAAAACTCAATATATTCCTCTGTGCCACAGAGCTACATTGTTCAACAAAAACAATTTAAAACACACCAGTGATCAACACCATTGTACTGGGTGACATGTTCCTTCATTGCAAAGTTTATTATGAGTCAAATAATAAACTGTCCTCTCGCAGCCTTCTCACTTCACACCAAATCCACGACTGGAAGTAGTCCGCAACAAAAACACTATTTCCTTCTGTTAAAGTAAAAACTGCAGTGTACTGCTGTCCAAAATATAATATATATATAATATATATAATATTATATATACCCTTCTTTTAAAATGTCCATATATTCGATAGGAACAAATGGGCTTAGTGCTGAGAGCCAATGACAAGCTGCCAAGGGACTGACAAACTGCTGGTTTCCTACAAATTAAGTTAAGTTTTTTTTTTTGTGGTTAATTAATAAATGACAGACTACACATATGCACAAGTTCAATGCTGTACTTGTTTTTTGACATACTGCTCATTATATCCTTGCTATTAACTGCTTCAGTGATCATACAAGATTAATTTGATCTCATCAAAGTGATGTAACATTTGTGTCACAATTTCGAAGCAGGGAATTACGTCTCCGAGGGGGACATATAGTAGCATTACCCAGCATTACCCACATGATATCTGTGATATCTTCTCTAATGGACATTTCCTTAATGCAGCTCTGTCATCCAGAATGAGAATATAGATTTTAATAAGGCACTGTACTAGTGGTCAGCCGCTGCTTCAGCCAGCATTGAAACGTCTTGCACCTGCTAGTAACAATATATGATCCCCAATGGACATTAAAGTAATTGCACAGCATTTTTACCCACACTGAAAAGATGGAAGGTCCAAATGATCGCACATAATTTTTGTAAGAGAAGCAGTGGCCCCGTGCTCTGAGAATAAATACAGTGTAATCATCGCAGAAAAAAATCTGTCCAGTATGGTAGCTAGTTCACACGAGATCATACAGAAAATTTCCTGAAAGTAAAGTTTGGTCAAGCTGGTTTTATTTATAGTCTGAGTGTACCAATCTGTAGGTAGAAATGTAGTCCGATAGACTGCACAGTGAGTTTTATTTAAGGCAGTGTACTGAGTGTCTTATATGAAACATTGTAAGTGTGTAAAGGCTTCAGGAGACAGACAGGTTAAAAATAGAAAAACTTAACCGTACTGTATACAGTAAAAGACCTCAGGCTGTAATCAACTCGCTGTTTATTGATTACAAACAACACACACACTCCCTTCAATAAGTGAAAACACAGCTTTTGTTTTGTACTGCGAATTATTTCATGCCTTTCCTTTTGTGTGTCAGTGGGTATGTGGGAGCACACATGTTCTCCTCAGTATGCTGTACAATGGTGTGTGTGTCACTGTGTTCTTTCCCTGTGGAGATATCCTGCCTCCAGCAGAGTCGGAGGGGCTGACAGATGACCACAAGGTCACTCGTCTCTCTGATCTGTGATCCTCTCAGGAGACACAAACACTTCAGGGGAATTTCCTGCTCTTTTCGCCTCCTCTCGCTTCTGCTCTCTCCTTCTATACTCTCCTCTGTTGTTTTCCTCTATTTGTCTTTAACGCTAGTCTCCTCTCTGTGCTCTTCTTTGTTCTCTTTCTCTGCCTCCTTTTCTCACCATTTCTCCTCTGCTTCCCCCCTCTCTTCTCAACTTCTCACTTATCTTTCTGTCTTCTGTGTCTTTGCTTCTCAAATGATCTTTTCCTGCGTCGCAGTCTCTTTCCTGCTATAATCCATGATCTCCCTGCAGACTAAAGGGATTATCGTATTATTGCTAGATGTTAGACAGGATTCCTTCAGGACTTTGTGCCGTCTCTCATACAGTATTTGAGACTACTGACTGGTTAAAATGGCTGGGAGAAAAGGACATATTTTATTTTATCTTATTGTCACGTAGGTTAGAGTTTTTTTTCACATTATAAAAAAATAATAAGAAATTGACAATATGTGGAGTGTGTTCAACATCAATTTTTAATCTAAATCTAAAAATAATATTGTATTATAGGATTATGTACTGTGTGTGTGTGTGTGGGTGTGTGTGTGTGTGTGGTGGTGTGG